GGTACAGACTTAGTATCCTTTGTAAGTCAACATACAATGTGCTGCAGATTTCTTCCTACTGGTTTTATATATTTATCATTTGTTTCTTTTTTAAAGACAATGCTGCATGTATTTTGTATAGACAACTAGCTAGCTTGGCTGATTTTCCCACATCCTGCCAGGTTTACTGATAATAGTAGATAGATAGCAACTAACCTCGCCTACACAATATGGAAAGGAAACCTGAAAGTGATAGAAAGGCAATTTACCATGCCATGAGATAGTCAATCGCAGGAATAGTGAATTTGGTGTCTACTAGTGAAGGTCAGCCAAAGAGGATTCACTGTCAGTCATCCTTATGACTCTTAAAATTCACAGAAGCAAGTCAATAGAAGCTGTTGGGCAGCAGGTCAATAGAAGCTGTTGGGCAACAGGTCAATAGAAGCTGTCAGGGAGCAGGTCAATAGCAGCTGTTGGGGAGCAGGTCAATAAAAGCTGTTGGGGAGAAGGTTAATAGAAGCTGTTGGGGAGCAGGTCAATAGAAGCTGTTGGGGAGCAGGTCAATAGAAGCTGTTGGGGAGCAGACCAGAAGAAACTGTCGCCAAGCAGATCTGAAAAAACTGTTGGGAAGTAGACCAGAAGAAACTGTCTGGGAGCATGTCAAAAGAAGCTGTCGGGGAGCAGGTCAAAAGAAGCTGTCGGGGAGCAGTTCAATAGAAGCTGTCAGGGAACAGGTCAATAGAAGCTGTCGGTGAGCAGTTCAATCGAAGCTGTTGGAGAGCAGACCAGAAGAAACTGTTGCCGAGCAGATCTGAAAAAACTGTTGGGGAATAGACCAGAAGAAACTGTTGGGGAGCAGACCAGAAAAAATTGATGGCGGGCAGACTATAACAATTTGATGAGAGGAGGAGACCAAAAGAACCTGATGGGAAGCAAACCAGAAGAAACTGTTGGGCAGCAGCATGCAAGACAGGCAAAGGTTTGTTCTAGTTGGATATGGAGAAAAGGGACAGGGAAGATAGGTAAATTAGCCACCAGAAACAGTGTCAAGTGACAGAGAAGTAGGAATCACTACCTTAAGTAATGAAGCAGGATGAGTGACAAGATTGTGGAAACATCTAGCACACAAGACTGCAATAATGGGCAGCTGCAAGAGCCGACCAGTCCCTGGTTTGGTCAGACCAACATTACTGATGGACTTTTGTAAGACATCATAGAATGCTCAAAAACAACTGAGGATGAAGGATTTACATGATGATGGGAGTGACCAGCACTGGATTATAACAATTTATCTTCAAACCTCCTAATTTCAAAGATAGAGCCAAACACTCCATTGGCCAAAAAAAAAAATTAGAGTGTTGAGTTCTCTAATTTGACAATTACTTTCATTTTTGTGTATTTTGAAATTTGATTAGTATTAAGTGTTACCAAAATTAACAGATGACTATCGCAACTGTTATGACCTCTGTGTATATTGAATACAAAGTAACCATATGAAAACCATCAATACATTCTTGGCAAGACTTAGCAAAACGCTACATACTACCTCCTTTCTTCTTTAATCAATCAGAGCTTTCACAGTCTTCTATATAATTCATTAAAAGGCTGACAATGAATCCTTATACTGCTATTCTGTATACCATAGTCTTCCTAAAGAACATCTTACACACCGATATATAAAATAAACTATAGAAGGGCAGACGAGACAGTACCATAACGGTTACCATATCGGGAGAAAGGGTGCTGCTAATACGTGGGTCAAATAAACATATACTGGTTTGGCTTATAACATATATCATTTTCAGTGAATGATAAATATGGTAATTCATCAATAAAGGAAGTAATACCATTATAACAGAGTAGATGAGGTTCCTACATAAGATATATGAAGTAATATCTCTTTTAATGAGGAGATGGTGTTCCTAAATAGGATATGTACGGTAATAACACTATAACACAGTAAATTACGTTCCTACGTTAAGGATCTGACACCATGGTCATCTTGTTTGGGATTGATTGAGGAGCGGTATTTAAGGAAGGTCATATGTCACAGATTACAGGTGTAAGGTCGAGGAAGTATAGGTCAGTGACCTGCATATCATTCTCAGTGGTGTTGTATAGTTAATAGGTAAAAAAACCACCTGCTGTATATTAATATTGATATACTATGTGATCACATGTCAATTCCATTTTGAATCAGTGTCATGATCACATAGGAGAAAGACTTCTCAGCATAAAATATACATAATTATCTTAATAACTGTATTTCTCTCAGCTGAGGTAGATAGATCAGGTGTCAGTTTAAGTAGGAATACATCATCTACAACAGTGGTTAAATTACCAGTTGAGAGCTGACACTTCACTATATAATCATAGAAGACAACATGTCTTGGAAAGTAATCTGTAATTATCACCAGCAATAAGTAAAATTGTAACAAAATATGAAAACTTTCTTAGCTTTTTCATCTAAATAGGCTGTATTTATATATAGTTCAATATTTCAGTATCCATTTCTAACATCGCATCAGCTACATCTATCTAGACAGTAGCTGAAGCATCTATGGTCAATTATATCTCAGCAGATACTCTCTTTTTTTTTCTAGCAAGTCCAGAACATCCATTCCAAACTTCTGATGAGTCCAGTTACAAAGATGTGATTGGTTTCTCTGTTTGAGTCCTATAGGAAAAACATGAGTCCAGGACTCAAAGTTAAGTCCCAAAGTCACTGTGCTATATATATCGGTCAGTGAACCCAATAGATGATCATCCAGCTTCTGTGTATGTGACGTTGTATTTCTTTCTGCCTTAGTTACTGTGGTCGTTGTAGTGATAGCTTAATTACAATGCCCTTGATGGACACTGATATAACCAAAATTCCATACAAACTGATTTCCTTTCTATACATGAGCTATCTGCAGTGTGTTCTTTATGCAGATAAAAAATTGGTAGCATGCATGATAGAGAATGAGGAATTTTATAAAGAGGTATGACAGAACCAACACAATCTTCAATGTTGCTTCATTTATCATGTTTAATGGGGCAGACTTCTGCACCGTAAACTTCCTAACTATTCTATCTAAGTGCATCTTATATGTGTTTTCTCTAAATAATCTCAGAAGTAAACATGTCAATCTAATCAGCGGTATAGAGATCTTAACACCGCACCATCGAAGCTGATATACGTCTGGATGGACCTATTACAAGATGTTACAAGGCTTATTATTGGATAGAATGAAATAAAAAGGGTGGACCTATTACTAAACATTGGATTATTACCTGATTATAAGACATGGGCTTATTACTGAATAGAGTGAAATATAAAGGGTGGGTTGATTATAAGACATGGGCTTATTACTGGATAGAATGAAATATAAAGGGTGGGTTGATTATAAGACATGGGCTTATTACTGGATAGAATGAAATATAAAGGGTGGGTTGACTATAAGACATGGGCTTATTACTGGATAGAATGAAATATAAAGGGTGGGTTGACTATAAGACATGGTTTTATTACTGGATAGAATGAAATATAAAGGGTGGGTTGACTATAAGACATGGGCTTATTACTGGATAGAGTGAAACATAAAGGGTGGATTGATTATAAGACATGGGATTACTACTAGATAAACTTGGTACTCCTTTCAAATCTAATCAATCAAGTCTGGTAGTAAAATTCTTCCTTTTTCAGTCTAAAACACAAACACTTGCATTTATAATCAATACAATCTGACTGCATCACACCGTTGTTAAAACCATAGGTCATTGTCTCAGATGGATTTAGCCCATCAATATTCTATAACTTCCTTACACATCATTCTTATCACAGAGATCTCTTCTACAAGACTGTGTATTACACACAAACTTTCATTTGTAAAGCTGTTTCTTTCATTTTCCTAAACTTCACTAAAATTTCTTTGAAAATCATTAGTCATAATTATTGTAAATCACATCTACAAAAGAAGAAAATGAAATAAATAAACCATAAAGAAATTCTCAGCGAGTGTGTCGAGTGAGGTGTGTGTCGAGTGAGGTGAGTTAATAATTAATACAGTTACATTGGTGTAGCAGACACCTCCGGGCTACTGACCCTAACACCTGTAATACTGATTACATTGATCCCTGACAGGCAGACAGTAAAGCCTTCGCCACCTGGGTCACGATACCAACATTCCCTCTCTACTTCCCAAACTTGAATAGTTCCAGGCAATCTCATATTTAACTCTTTCAAGTCCTGCTGTACAGCTACAACGTCACAACTGATACACAGTAACCAATGCCTTCTGGGAATTTTTAAACCGCCCTATTTATCCTGCAGCAAGATCAGAGGTCTTACAATTTCTACTTTTTATTCAAAGTCATGAAACTGGCTTTATTACAATACAATGATATATAGATTATTGGTTTATAGTTTTACTGAACAGCAGTATATTTCAGCAAACTGCTGGAGATAATGAGGCAATTTTTATATATATTATACTATAGAGGAAATCACATTGACAAATATATATATATAATGTTGTGTTTGGGAATGTCATGTGATCATACATAGTGTGGTTGTAATTGTCTGCTACACACCATGACCTTAATTAAGACAAAAATCTTCAATAAAGTTACATCAATCCTTGTTTTTTAAAGAAACAAATATCTCCTTTTAAGAGTCATCTTCAAACCATTTAAATACTCTTACTTAATAATGCTGTCACTAATACGTTGTGTAAGATGTGCCACTTTGTCAGTCTAGCAGTAGCAGGCAAAAATATGTAGGCTTCAAGCACAAGAGAAGAAGTAACAATGTATTGATTGGAAACTCGGCTTCAGAAGTTCTTCTTAATAAACCCTTTGATTTTGTTAATTTCTTTAAAAACACAAGTTAACTAAATATTTTTTTCTGGATAAGGCAGCAAGTCTCTGCCAACACAGCAGTCAATTTACCACACTTTTAATATTCAATACAGTTCACTTCAATTCCAGAGACTTTCTCATTTAGAAGTATTGGAATGATAAAGACGTATGTATAATACCTGATCTTGTGACACAGCAGAGTCTCCGCGTGCATTATTCTCCTGGTTGGCCGTGCTTTTTTCATTCCTACACGCTGTGTGGTACTCTTTTTTGGCAGCTTGTAGCTTTGTATATTTCTTCTCCCATGGTTTCTGTGCCTAAAATACATAACAAAGACAGATATTACTATGATTAATTAGACATCAGTAATCAGAGTACCAAGTTGAGTATGATGGGTTGTATACACTAGTTATTGCACACATATTTACTACTGGACATCTGACCACACCTCAGCAAGCAATACAAGAAACAGTGATAGTAAGGATTGTTTACGGACAGACAACAGACAACAGACCATCAACAAAAGGCAACTTAAACAGACCACCATCTTATAAAAGTAAACTAAAATAGACCTTGAAACAATTTATTCTGAAATAAAGATTTCAATTTCTACCATCAGCTGAATCCACTGGCATTTTGGTAGTTTTATGTTTTTACACGATTACTTATCTTTTATATAATTCACTCTTGTTAGTCCATATGTGTTAACCTAGCCCTAACAGATGACCTGAACATCACCAGACATTAAGGTTGTAATGAGTACTCGAGCACCTGTGTACAGGTCGGGTTTGAGAAATAACGGGGTCCAAATCTGTGTACCCGGGTACCCGTCAAAATAGGAAACATTCTGTCTTTTGTCTGTGTTTACATTTCAGATTATTAAAGTAATACAATATCTCGCTCATTTGTTCTGTTTTCATTCATTGAGGATAACACTTTATCTGTTTGTTACATTTCTACATTCAACATTGTCCTCCTTCAGTTTTCTCACTACCACATTTCGATTTGGGGACCATCAAACACATATGTACACGACAGACTTGTGGCTTTACCCTGTTACCATCAATAACACGCCTGGCTTCAGGAATTTCTAGTTTGAATTAGATAACCTTCTTATTTATTTATTTTAGTGTGTATTGATTCTAGATTGAATCTTTTACTGCTGTCATTCCTACTATGTTGTTGTTGATCACGACAACTCTGTCAAATACGGCAATGTCTCTGTCCTACTTTACTTCCTGTTACACATTTGCAAGTAACACTATCCTGCCATATTTGCGGTAAGCTTGACAGGCACGTTTTGTGAACTTTTGACCTCATGTGATTTTCTCAAGATCGTTTAAATTACAAAATAATTGATAGGTGCAATGAAAGGAATACAATATCGTCAGTGAAGTAATGTGTTCATATGATGTATATGGCTGATTTTTAATTGTTCCCCGAAGTTACAAGCCCTTTTCACCGGTAACATTATGTTTCATAATTATGTCAGATAAAATTCAGGTACCCGGGCCCAAAATTTTGAACCTGTGACAGTCCTTCCAGACATCCAGAACAATTAAAGTGTCTTTACAAGGTCTCAAACATAGCAGCAAAGGACAATCCATGATCCCAAGAAAGGCAAACTCTCCAATGATGGAATTAAATCTAAACTTCTGAAGAGACACAAATTGTCCAATGATGGGATCAAACAAAACCTTCTGAAGAGACACAAATTGTCCAATGATGGAATCAAACCTAAACTTCTGAAGAGACACAAATTGTCCAATGATGGGATAAAACCTAAACTTCTGAAGTCACAAATCATCCAATGATGGGATCAAACCAAAATTCAATTAACTCTAGATATTCAATTTATATCCACTTACAAGTATAAAACAATACACTCCAATAAAAGCTATCTATAAATCCTATCTATCCTTTATTTACCTTGTATGGCAAGGCTATTTACAAGATAAATTATTACTTTATGATGTCCGTAATGCCAGACATCTCCCACACAATATTATGTCTGTCCAAGGCACTGGTCAGTGATTCATCTTGCTACCTTGTTATATGTATCTACACACAGCACTAAGTGAATCTATAGTACAGCCTGGGGCTTTCACATCAATATACATACTTCTGCTTCATTTCCTAATAGTTTCTATATCTAAACATCTACAGGACCTTTAGGAATATATTCCAACAAAGATATAAGATATATCTAGGTTGAACTTGCTAGAGGGAATTATACATGCTATAATTCAAAAAAATAAAGATATATTTGTAAGCATGACACACACTTAACACTGTAAACAACCACAAGAAGAATTTATATAAAACAAATTTTGTTTCTAAGGAAATGTGGGCCGTTTTTCTACAAGTATCAGAGGATTCCTTTGTACAATTTATTGTCAATTTGTGACTCTCCACAACTTGATGGGAGATGGACCTGCTTATTTTAGCTCTATCATGTCTTTCCCACAAAATGTAATGTCTAATTGGGCAGTGAGGAACACTGTCAGATATATTTCTGTACAAATGATATAATATAATGTATAGTGACAAGAGGCCCATCGGCCTTGATGGTCACCTGAGACAAGCAATATTGAACATAAAAGTGAAAAGATAGTTATCATGTATCATGAAACAGAATTTAAGACACTGGAAAGAGTAAGCCAGTGTCAATACATGCATAGTATCAAAACTGCCGTCCTTTAATAACAAAGTTATTTCCAGTGGGAAATAACCAACGTTATGCTCAAAAATGCAATTTTTCTATGAAAATTACCGTAAGGTTTAAAAATAACCTTCCTCCCCAGGAAGAAAAGACTTGAAGATGCTTCCATTCATACAGAGCATTTGATTCTATCATATCTGGGTGCTGAGAAGAAGATTTTTTAAATCTGAGTCAATTTTTCACTCATAATTCTAACCAAATTTCAAATATTTCCAATGGAAATTAAATGAATTATGCTCAAAAATATAGCTTTCAGATATAAACTACAGTAAATTTTACCCCCTCCCAATAGGGAAATGTGAGACCCTGGGGTATGAAATTCACAATTTTGGTGAAGTACCTAAAGATGCTTTCATTCATTAACCCTTTCGGGGCCAAATATTTCTCACAATGTTCAGCTCAGCGCCAAATATTTCTCACAATGTACAGTTCAGCGCCAAATATTTCTCACAATGTACAGTTCAGCGCCAAATATTTTCTGGAAAATATCCGAAAACAATGGCAAAAATTGCCGACTAAAGTCGCCTACAGCGGCCTGTCTGCATGTCGACTTTAGTCGCCTATGTCGGCCAGTCTGCATGTCAACTTTAGTCGCCTACGGCGCCGAAAGGATTAAGAGTATTTGATTCTACCATATCTGGGTGCTGAGAAGACAATTTTTGAAATTCAAGTCAATCTGACCCCTTTTGGTCCCATCCCTCCAGCCCCTGTTAGGTGGGGACTATATAATAACAATTTTGGTTCATCTTAGGCCAGGGAAGATTTCTACAAAATTTCATTGAAATCGGATCAGGAGTTTTTAAAAAGAAGTTGAAAATGTTTATTTGATTATGGACCCATAACACACAATACACGATACTGGATGAAGGTGATAGCAATAGGTCACCACAAGACTTGATCTCAGGAGATCTAAAAATGAAATTTGGCATTTTACTGTATGTATGTGTGAAGTATCTATAAACATATTTTCTGGTCAAAAGATATACCCCAATCCCTGGATCTAAGTGGTGGTCAAGAGTGGTATAAAAAGGTCATGCTGCCCTATAAATCATCAGGAGACAGGCCTTGTCTCTACTAGGACATTGGTGTTCCTCCTGTAGAACTGGTGTTTCTAAAGTTGGAGACTGGTGTCACTACAGTAGGAGACAGGCCTTGTCTCTAGTAGGACATTGGTGTTCCTCCTGTAGGACTGGTGTTTCTAAAGTTGGAGACTGGTGTCACTACAGAAGGAGACTAGTGTTCCTCCTGTAGGACTGGTGTTTCTAAAGTTTGAGGCTGGTGTCATTCATCAAGGAAACCCAGGTGTTCCTTGAGAAGGTTTCATAAGGAGGAAATATTTAGTGGTCATCCAGAAGGGGAAAGGTGTTCCTTCAGTAGAACACTGCTGTAGCATTTTCTCCAGAATTACCACAGGTGTTTCTCCAGAGCATACAATCTCCCTTCATCATTAAACAGGTACACAAACCACGCTAAAATTATATTTAAGCTTATAATTAAGTATACAGCTATAAAGGATAGCAGTGTCAGATCTAAGGATTTCAGAAGCTTCCCATTAAATGTCCTGACAAGTTTTGCTGTAATCCTTATTCTATGTAGATTGTACTCAAAGATCTCACATGATTCTATCGGTAGTAAAATGACAGAAATTATCACATTACAGTAGATTACTTCAGCTGACAAGTGGATCCAACCACGATACTCAATGATAAGAGGTATATCAGTGCTGACACATTAGCACACACAAGAAAACAACATTATCCCCATCACAAGTCAAGGCTTTTTTGTTGTCAATTTTGGACTAAAGCCTTCCTCATCCAATATTGAGAATAATCATTCACTGATAGGGAAGCAAATTACCATGCCAAAAATAGAAGATATTGCAATTAGGGAAAGTGTTTAGAAAAAGTCTGTAACATTCATACTCAAGCACTAGCATGACTTATATATGCGATGTAGATCACGGAGTCAATGACAAAATCAGCCTGGAGGCTATAACAGTCAGTAGTAGGAAGTACACATTTAAACCATCACGTCCACACTAGCTACACAACTTAACCTGTCATTCTGTAACCAGCCACATGTGATTTTAAACACCTCAATATGTATAAAACTTTCAATTAGAAATCAGCTGAACATGCAGGGATCACTTTAGAGCAGACTAGGGGAATGTTATTCATGTGCTGCACTATATATGAAAATCCCATCCACTTTCTCCTAAACCCTGAAAATCTCCTGTAACATTGTAGACCCAGGTGTGGACAATATCTAATATAAACTAATTACATTCATTATTAAGAACCCATGTCCAACAGGGAAGGAAGAGAAAGGGTATTGTAAAAAAATGTTTAAGTCGGATGACCTAAAAAAACTTTATCAGTTTTTAAAATAATTATCATGCTATTGTATATTTATTTTGTAGGAAACAAGTTTTTACAGGAACAGGAAGAAAACATCATGAGATCAGTCCTGTATTTTTTTTTTATGTGAATTTATCTACAGATAAATCATTGTGATTTAAGTCACTTCCTCCATCTATACTCCCTAGTGTACAGTATTTATATTCCTAAGCTAAATTTCTAATCAACCCTTAAAAAT